GACAGATCAATCCTAGATGATAAAATGACAACTCCTCTAAGTCCGAAATTGGACCACTTCGGGTTGTTTATGGGTCATCTTGTTGGTACCACTCCTTAGAAGGGAGGCACATCCCAACCCATGTTAGGTCAAAGTTGGTTGATTCCATAGATTGACTCATAGAGCAATTCTTCCTTCTTTAAGACGTTTCTTCATCCATAATTATGGTGTTAGAATGGTTCTATTGACTCTCTAAGTTGGTTCATTCTAATTCGTCTAACAACCATACAGTGGCTACTTCACTAAGAATGGACACAAAAATAGACTCATAAAATTGAAGATGGTACACATTCTAACACCATGTGGACTAAATCTGGACTCACTAGAACACATTACATATTGTTCGGGGCAGAACTAATCTATTGAAGGAAGGTCATGTTAGGGGGGTGGCAATCCCTCAGTGCCTTCAGTTGCATATTTGGTGTCTTGTTCAATGTTTTAAATGACGGTGCTCAGAGATTTGGGACGGAGTTTATAATAGTAGTGATCATTTTTCAACCCTAAACCTCAGATGTATACCTGAACCCTATTGTACGTTGAACATATAAGACCGGACGCATCATTATCAGACTCCTAGATGTGATCCAATGTTTTAGTATTTGTGAACATATTTTCACGGAACAAGTTGGTTTTTTAGCTGTTTAAAACATGCATAACGAAATATCTATTCATATGGACAAACATTGGACACAACTAACAAATGATCACTGTCATGTACAGATATACGTTAATTGTTCGTTATAATATCAATCACGATTTGTAAGAAATATAACAGCATGTACGTCCTTAGAGGCCTTTTCTTTAGGACATTAGTCATCAGCCTACTCTTAAGAGGGTTTAGGCGGTTCGATGTCAATAAAATATGCAACATAATAAATTTTATCCTGCTTGTTCTTGTTAGGATAATTAATGACTCTTCGGCATAATTCTAGAATAAACGTACAAGTGGAATACATCCTGTTTTTCTTCTCATCGTTCTAATTGCCTCCTTGCAATTTCTTGGAATAATAGTTCTCAGGGGAGATACTTTTTCCTCTCCTAGAGGCAGTAACCAATTCTTGTCAAATTTTTCGCATCAGAGGAATTGAAGGATTCATTACTTTTCTTCGTCTCAATTTTTTCCTGACAATTATTTTTACTAACCCTGGACGGGGATATCGGATTTTCTGTCGGCTGTTCAGATACTGTGTCTTGATTTTTTTTATTCAGCGACATTGTGAAAGGGAAAGTAATCTCTGGTTCCTTGAGTCGAAGACCCTCTTTTGTTACTCGGATACACATCATACTGCTCAACTCATTCTTCGTTAGTTTCGGGAGCCGATTCCTTGTCTGGGGATTTCTTGGCTTTCTAGGATTTTTGGAAGAGGTAGTTGTAATTTCCTTCTTCGGACTCATTATTTTCTGCTATTGTAGGATTTTAAATAACGCTAATCTGGTTAGACACCTCTTCCTTCAGGGGGGCTAAATATTTTTCTCGTCGTAATTTATCGGAATGACACTAATCAGGTTAAACACTTCTTTTCCTTGGTTTCCTAAATTTCTCCTGCTTGATCATTAATTGGAATCACATGCAAGGGGGTAAACAGTTTTTTTGGGGTTTAGGTAAAATATCCGTTGTTCGGTGACTATCTAGAATGACACTAATCCGGTTAAACAAATTTTTTTCCTGTGCTGGTAATTATTCCTCGATTGATAATTAAATTGAATGGTATTAAATAGTTGAAACATTGTTTTCGGTTGTTTGTAAAATATTTTTGTCTTCGTAATTATTCGGAATTAAGTTGCAAAAGTGCAACATTTGTCGTTGTTGTTGTGTAAAATAACGCACACATTCTAATTATTTGGAGTTACACTAATCGCGGAAAAAATTTCTCTTGTTTTTTTTCTTCCTTTACTTTTGCACTGTAATTACTTTCAGTGAAACGAATGTTGTTGAATTCCCCTTCCTTTTCCATTACGATAACTATTTTTTTGCCACAGAAGTATCTTTAGGAGGTTACGCGATTGGAACATTATTGTATCTGTGTGCAAAATTTTGCCTTCTCCGGTAATTATTCAGAATGACACTAAATGTTGGGAACGTCCGTTGGTTATGGAATTCTTTAATTATTTTCCCGCAACCGAATTTCTTCAATGACATTACACCAGTGAATCATTTCCCTTGTTTTCCATGTGCAAAATATTGCCTTCTTTGGTAATTATTCAGAATGACACTAAAGTGTTGGAACATTCGCTGTCTTTGAATCTGTTTAATTATTTTTTTGCAATCGCATTTCTGGAATCACATTACACTAGCTAATCATCCCCCTTTATTTTTGTGTGCACAATATTGCCCTGGGGGGTAATTATTATGAAGGAGATTAAATGGTTGGAATATTCGCTGTTTCCTGACCCCCTTGATTATTTTCCTGCACTCTTTTTCTTCGAATTACATTACACCAGGTTATTTTCCCCTTTGATTTCTGTGTGCAAAATATCGCGCGGTCTTTTAATTATTCGGAATGAAAGTAAAGGGGGGGAATATTCGTGCCTTTTCCCGTGGATCATCTATTTGGTTGCACACACATTTTTGGAATGATATTACACTTGTGAAATTAGTTTTCCTTCTCCTGTGGGCAAAATTTTTCTCCCTTTGCTAATTTTTTCGAATGAAATTAAAGGGGGGGAAGATTGGTTCGTTTTGCATTTGATCAATTATTTCCTTGTACACACATTTTTGGAATGACATTACACGGGTGAAATGATTTTTCCTTTTGGTCTGTGCAAAATATTGCCTCCTCCGGTAATGATTCGGGAGGACACTAAAGGGGTGGAAGATGTTTTGGTTTCCCATTTGCTCAATTCTTCGTTTGCACACACAGCTCGGGAATGACCTTACACGGGTGAAATTATCTTTCCTTTTGTTGTGGGCAAAATCTGTTCCCGTTTGGTAATTATTCTGAATGACAGTAAAGGGTGGGGATATTCCTCTGCTTTCCATTTCGGCAATTATTTCCTTGCACATACATTTTCGGAATGACTTTACACTTGTGAATTTATTCTTCCTTTTCGTGTGGGGCAAATTTTTCCTCGTCTGGTAATTATTCCGAATGACACTAAAGGGGCGGAATATTCGTTTCTTTTTGCTTTGTTCAATTATTTCTTTGCACACACACGTTGGGCATGCCATTATACGTGTGAAATTATTGTTCCCTTTCCTTTGTGCAAAATCTTGCCTTCTTTGGTAATTATTCAGAATGACAGTAATGGGGTGGAACATTTGTTCCTTTTCCATTCCGTCAATCAGTTCGTTGTACACAAATCTTTGGAATGACATTACACGGGTGAAACATTTTTCCTTCTTCCTTCGGGAAAAATCTATCTCCGCCTGGTAATTATTCTGAATGGCAGTAATGGGGTGGAACATTCACTTTCTTTTCATTCCATCAATTATTTCTTTGCACACACATTTTTGGAATGACATTACACGTGTGAAACTATTGTCCCTGTTTCTGTGTGCAGAATATTACTTCCACGGGTAATTATTTCGAATGACACTAAAGGGGTGGAACATTGGGTCGTTTGCCATTCTTTCAATTATCTTCCTGCACACACATTTTTGGAATGACATTACACATGTGAAACTACCCTGCCTTCTTATGTGTGCAAAATATTACATCCACCGGTAATTATTCTGAAGGATTTTAAATGAGTTGAACATGTGATCTCTTGGTTTCCTTACTATTTCCTTGGCACCCGAATTCACGGAATTAATTTACATGGACGGAATATTTATCTGGTCACTTTCGTTTAATTCGGCTGTGTGGGAAATATTTGCAATAAGATTAGACTTTCTGATCAGGCGCCTTTGCCTGCTTTGTTCCATTTTTCCTTGGAGTTGTCATGAATCATACGCAATTCAATCTGCACATAACTTCCTCCAACTTTTGCTCATCATTTTGGCACCCTGAATTTTTTGGAATTAAATTAACC